ATAGAGTGTGCTGACCTGTGTTTTGCAGAAGGGCACGAGAAGCTGCCTTACTGGCCTTCATTTACAGAGCTATGCCTGTCCCTGCACTGAAGAAAGAGGTGAAGACAGAGAACACAAGAATTAGGAGTGGGCATTTTATGCCAAATCTCCTGACAGCTTCACTTATTAGCAGGGTGACCCTGGGCAGATGTCTGTCTTCTTAGAGACCAGGTTTCTCCTCAATAGACAGGGATGGATATCATCAACTTATTCATTGGAATACTGTGCTGACGACATGAAGACATAAAAAGAACTTAAAAGTGTGTTTGGCACATTAAAAAAATACACACTAAAGGTTAGTTGTTGCATCACTCTGGAAATAGATATGAGAAAATCCTAAAATAAGATTTATCATATCCTTTTGAAAAAAATTGTCCTTTCTTGGCCTTGAGATCTTCCATGGTGGTCCCACAAAGCCTTGAATCTGGTTTTTATTCTTGGATTTCTGAGCTTTGGCCCTGAAGGATGTGGGCATTGTCTAAGCCTGAGCTGACCCAGTGTCATGTCTTCTGAAAGGACATGTCAGGCTATCACTGATGGTCAGCAATGTTGTGCTGACTTTATCTGTTCAAATGAAGCCCTTTCTAGTGGAAGAGTCTAGATTTTGAATTTGTTGCACAAAGGAGTTCACATGAGTGCAAGCTATTGAGAAATAAGAAGAGCTATCCAAACCCAGGAGGTATCATTCATTTCTCTGTACAGGGACTAGACTGATGAAGGATACTTCCAAATTTACACGGATGGAGTCAGCCATAGGTATTTGAGATGTATGTGAGAGGCTGAGTCCCCCATTCGGCTTCCCTTTTGGTTACCTTTCGTGGGATGGCAAACAAGTCAGGGATTTTGGCTTACCCATGCTGGTAGCAATCACACCTGTGGGAGAAACTAAAACTGAGGGCAGGTTCCATGCCTTGAATTCTTGTAAGTTGACAAGTTTGACCTGACCCCAGGCTTTTCTTCGGCAATTACTCTCTTTCCTCCATGGAAATCCTGCCCAAACTCAACCGCAATGCTGCCAACTCAATGCTTCTGGGTTCCCAAATCAAGTACTTCTCTCTCTCTCTCTCTCTTTTTTTTATTGTTGGGGATTCATTGAAGGTACACAGAACCAGGTTACGTTGATTGCTTTTGTTAGATATGGACCCTTTTATAATTATGTCCTGCTCCCAAAAGGTGTACCACATCCCTTGACCCCCCACCTCTCCCTCCTTCCCTTTCTCAGCTCTCCCCATCTCCACCCCTACTGTATACTAGGACCTTAATTGTCCTCATATCAGCATTGAGTATATAGGATTCTTGTTTCTCCATTTTTATGATGCTTTACTGAGAGTAACGTGTTCCACCTCCATCCAGGTTAACACAAAAGATGTAAAGTCTCCATCTTTTTTAGTGGCTGAATAGTATTCCATGATATACATATAGCATAGCTTGTTAATCCATTCCTGGGTTGGTGGGCATTTAGGCAGTTTCCACAGACTTCTTTGACTCACTGCTGGGAGAGGAAGTGGGAGGCTGGCTGTCTGGCGTTGTGTTTAGAGCCACTAAAATTGATGTCTAAATAGTTCAGGTCTTTGCAGACCCTATGTCCCCTTGGCTGGAATTCTGTCCCCTCCTTACTTGGGGACATCTAAAATTTGAAACTTTTCTTTTCCTCATTTCACCTGTGTCACCATTTTGCTAATCCACCAACTTAGTACATTCTATTTCTAATACCATCATATAAAGAATATTTCCACGAGCACAGGTATCCACACAATTAAACTTTTATAAACCTCTAACTGAGTTGTTTTCAATCTTGTTTGCATGTTAGCATCTTCTGGTTAAAAAAGAGAGACAGAAAAGCAGAAGGAAAGAGAAGAGACCAATGCCTGATACCACTCAAGAATACTCAGAAACTTCCTGGTCGTTTGTTTATTTGTAAAGTTCCTTCAGACACTTCTGACCAAGGTGGAAAATCACTGCTTAGCCAGACATAAACTCCTCTTTAACCTACTGCATTTGTCTCCTATGATGGAGTATAACTCCTATTATTCATCAGAAGGGTGATATTCATCAGGTTCCCTCTGGATGAGTATCAGAAGTTACACTCTATCATAAACACAAAAAAGAACAAGATAAACATGCCCAGTCTTCTCAGGACATGAGCACTCTGACAATCAAACCAAAAAGCCATTGTCTTTGTCATTAAACGTGAGGAAGTCATCAACATTGTCAAATAGGCAAGAGTTCTGGAAGCTCTCAAGTATTCAACGTTTACAAAATGGTACGAACGTTCAAACTTGATTCACCAAGATACCCGAGATGAGATATTCCGAAGCCAGATGGCCCTGTGCAGAACGTACAGAAGAAATTGTCAGGAACTCAGTTCTCACTCTTACTGCATGAGAATATCGAGAAGTCTGGGCAAGCCAAGGAATCTCTGGAGAAAACACACACAACATTGTTCACACAAGGTCAAGATGCAAAGCCTTCCTGAAGGTTGCTGTCATCTTGGAGTTATGAATTCCCAACTTAAGGAATTCCGTCCCCACTTCATAGAGGGGACAGTCAAGTCAAAAGAGACTGCACTGCTGTCCCATCTCTACCAGGAAAGACAGTAAGGACAAAAGGAAAATGTTACAGATTACTACATAGGTTTACAGAAAGAGTAAAATTACAAAAAGTCAATAGGTCCCTTATTAACTTCTTGTTGGTGATGTTATAAATGGATCTTGTGGAATGGGAAGAACTTCAAGATATGAGGAGATTTATATTTCTGGTAAAGTGAATTTCCCAAAATGGGGCTGGGTGGTAAGAGAAGCCCAGCATTCCAATGGAAGGAAGATTCCTCAGTTTTATTTGAGACCAGGGTGCCTACACCATAGAGGAAATAGGAGTAGACCTTGAGGTAGGGTGGGTAGTGTAGAGTCACTTACTGTATATGAGAAGTCAGTGCCATGTGGAAGTTCCCGTAGCCCCACATTCAACTTTGCCCAACTCTGTTCTATAAATCTCCCTTTCCCTGAAACTAAAAGTAGCCAGCAAAGCCTAGCACAGCCAAAAGACAAATTATCCCATTTCACCCAGGGGAAAGTCGTGCCAAAATTCTCATAAATTCCAGATATAAAAACAAAGGTGTGCTCTAGCTCTTAGTCTCAGGTTTCCTCTGGTTGCGGATAATGACACCAGGGAGGGGCTGCAAAAAGACAACTGCGTGTGGCTTATGGAAAGAAAGGTCGGGGAGGGGAGAAAGTCCACAGCAGCCAAGATGATTTGCGTCCAATTCCTGTCACACCTGCTGCTGCCCATAGAGCTAAATGTCTTTCTTTTGAGAGCCAAGGGAGTGAGTCTTGCTGGGTTCAAAAGCCGGTTTGCTCACAGCCATGCCAGAGAGGGGTAGTTCAGCAGAGGCTGATGTCTGTAGCTGGGTCCTTCCTTCCAGCAGTTCTTCTCATCTCCTTACTCGGCTCGCCTTCCTCCCTTTCATCCTCCTGTTTTCATCCTCCCCTTCCTCTCTATCCTCCCTCCTTCCTCCCTCCTTCTATGGGAGTCCTATGCCAGCATTCCATCTCATCCCTCACATTAAGAAGAAAACTTCCTGGCTGGGCGTGGTGGCTCACACCAGTAATCTTAGCACTCTGGGAGGCTGAGGCAGGAGGATTGCTTACGTTCAGGAGTTTAAGACCAGAGTGAGCAAGAGGTAGACTCATGCCTACTAAAAATAACAATTATCTGGGCATAGTGGCAGATGCCTGTAGTCCCAGCTGCTCTAGAGGCTGAGGCAAGAGGATGGCTTGAGCCCAAAAGTTTGAGGTTGTCATGAGCTATGATGTCACCACAGCACTCTAGCCTTAGCAACAGAATGAGACACTTGTAAAAAATAAATAAAGGAAGGAAGGAAAGAAGGAAGAAAGGAAAAGAAGAAGAAAGCTCCTCAGAAACATCCCTATCATTTATTTCTTACTGAGAAATTTGCATAGGTTTGATGATGGGATGAAAAGATGTTTCAAGAGCTTTGCTGCATATAAAAGAATACATCTTATGCTCCTAAACACCAGAGTCCAGTGATAATTTTGCTACTTATATGGGTTTTACATAGATGTAAAATTTGACTCTTTAGAAACCCATAGGTAGGAACACGTAGACATTGCTTTGGTCACTTGTGCTTACAAAGCTGCCGTCTCCGCAGGCTCCTGTGTTAATTCTCACCTGCACATTCTTCATCTGCCCCTCAGGGAGTGACAGGCACCAAACCTGGCTGTTTCTGCCTGTCACATAGAGGAACAGATATTATCTGAACACTGGCTAGGAAGAGGCAGCCAGCTAACTGAACTAACTTAAATAGCTGGGAAAACAATTCTGAAAACCCAAGCTGAGTTTGCTTCCAGATGCACGCCTGTAGGAACGTGGGGCATCCACAGCTAGGATTTGTCATAATCACTCCTCTCTCCAAGTAACATCTGGCCACGTCTCTGTTTGTCGGCAGGGATCCCTTGGCCCTGAGGCCTGCTTCACAGCTCACCTCTGTTTCTCCACCATCCTGTCTTAGCACTGCCGGACAACAGAGCTGCGTCACCCCCTGATGTCCTTAAAATTCTGTACACCTAACTGGAACTGGCTCTAGCATTGGAAAATCTGATATAAGTAGCATAGAAATTTATGAGAGTGAGGGAAAGAATCCTTACAGAGAGTAGAGAAGGACCCATGTGAGGAATGCAATCACTGTTTCCTGTAATTATCTACCAACACCTGTCGGAGAGCAGCGGAGCACCCCACACACAGGAGATGGGACCCTGCAGTGATGGCATCCTCCCCTGAGTGTGGGAAGGATGGCTTGCCCTCTGGGGGATTGCATCTCTGATTGCAGGGACAACGCGAGCACGGATGTGTGCGTGGGGAGGTACGGGGAGAAATACCACCTGCTGCCTATGGCCTGCCAAGCCTGGCCTGCCTCACACGTGTTCTCTTTTCCTTCTCTGCAGTGCGGGGGGCGCCTCCTATGAGGTTATGCAGATCGACGTAGAGGTAGAAGAGCCCAGTGACACACCGACCACGCAGCTGGTCACATGGCAGGTGGAATACCCAGGAGAGATCACGTCTGACCTGGGGGTGTCCAAGATCTATGTGAGCCAGAAGGACGTGATTGGAATCATCCCTCTGGCCATGGTAAGGAAGTCCCTGCCGTGGGCTATTCCTACAGAACTCGGGGAAAGGGCTGGCTCTGCACAGTGACCAAGCTGGGTGGGGAAATGTCCGTGAGTAAAGAACCTAGGTAGGGAAGAACCGGACCACCCAGCGCACTGCTGATAGCCAATTCTAAAGCATATTTTCTAAGTAATATTGTTAAAGTCTTATTTAGAAAGTATAAAACTCTAGGTATCTATTTGGGTCTGCCATTATGTAAAAATTACTGATGGGTTGAGACATCTGTTTGCATTCTACAATGGAGGCTGGCTGGAGGATCTCACACACACACAACGCATCCATCAGGTATAGAGGTGAGATGTGCTGAGGGGATGGGTGAGCACCTGCCCAGTCTAAAGATCTCAGCCGGTGTTGGCCATGCAAGAAAGCCAAGCCACATTCTGAAACTGTTAACATCTATGATTTTTCAAGAGAAGCCACAACTAGTTTTAATGTGAAACATCAAATTCTTTATGTTGGTAACTTTCTTTTCTTATATAAGAAAGCGTTATCTATGTTCCATTCACAGGTCATCTGTAACTTGTAATCTAGAGGATTTGGGACTGTAAAGCTGTCCATGCATTTCCTGTGACTTAGGGGACTTAGAGGAGCTTTTATACTTACAAGGACCACACCCTGGTTTCCAATAGAGCCGCTCAGTCCCCACTGGCGGGAAGACCACCCACTCACACCCACCTACTCAGTACCCACCATTGCCTGCAGAGCCCACCTTTCCTGGGACTCTTCAGAGGCCCCTCTAAAGAAAACTGGGTTGTTGTTGTTTTAATTTGACTTTTCACAACATAAACTCTGGCCCATGATAGTCTGCTGACAATAATTTGGGTTTTCTCCTGTTACAAACTTATTTTTGGTATCAGAAGAAGTACGAGTTGGCTTCTCAGTTCACTGCCCCGTGCTCCCCCAGATCATCCATAAGAAAACGCTGACAGTGTGACTAGGTGATGCAGAGAGAACACCCGACGTTAGCCTTTCAGTCAAAGGGGGCACAGACAGTTGCCTGGTGACACTGACTTGGCGACTGTGTTGTTCATTAGGAAATGAAAAGGTGCCCGGGTATTTTGGTTGGTAAGGGCTCTTCTTAGCCGCGTGTATTTCTTTTATTTTAGCAGCACCAGGCCTCCCTGGCATATTAGTACACATGTGACCGGGTGCGCCTTGTTTGGGGCACTGTGAGTGGTCTGTTACTGGGAATGGCAGTGCCTTTTGTCTTAAACAAGTACTTATTTGAATTTGCTCCTTTCCTCCACCTTTGGCCTGAGGAGCTGTAGCAATACTGTCTGAACAGCGCTGCTGCTGTGCTCTGCCCAGACGGGTCTCTGCTCCCTGTACACACATTCCTCCTTCCAGCCACCTATTCTTCCCGCTCTTACGAGAGCCCCTGTCTGTCCTCCACCCATCTCTGAAACCTTTTCCATTCTGCCGCATCCTTGCTTGCTGTGCCGCGTGCAGTGCTGTGAGGTTGTAGGATGTAATGGTAGGGCTGGGAAAATATATCTCAGCTAAGACCCAGCTGACCCCTGCACCAGTTAGAAATTGCATTTGGCTGAAAGAAAGAGAGCTCATGCCCCCTACCCCACCCTCCAACCAGTGGTGGCTTAAGTACAAATGTGTTTTCTCCTTTCATGCAAAGAAACTCCTGAGATTGGTGGTCTAGGACTGGTATGAGTTCGCATGACATTGGAGACCCAGGCCCATCTTTATTTTGGCTTCTGCAGTCAGGTACATGTGTTCTAGCCTCACAATTACCTCACAGTCTAAGATGGTTGCTAGAATGCCAGCCATTGTGTCTATATTCCCCAGACCAGAAAAAGTAAAAATTGCAGGAGAACAAGTAGGGCCAGTACTTTTCCTTCCCAAGAAACCTTCACAAGAATCCAATGTAGTACCTGTGGTTCCAACCAATTGGCCAAAACTTACTCATGTGGCCACATTCAGTGGTAAGGAAAACTGAGAAATGAGTTTTTTAACATGGCAGAGTGCTCAGATTCCATTACTAGGAACAAGAAGAGAACAATGGTTCCAAGGCAGTGAGCAGCGTCTGCAGCAATCCTCCCTGGTTTCCACATGGGGAAACTGAGGCTCAGAGGGTTACCCTGTTGGTACCCGAGTGTTTCCCATTCTCCACTGGTGTTTCAGAACCTCCAAGGAAGAAGAATAGCATCACTAAATCATAACCTCCATTTACTAGTAATGCAACCATACTCAATTTCATTGTGCCTCAGTTTCCCTATCTGTGAAGGGGGAAAATAATACTCAGATAGTTGTTGGAAGAATAAAACAGTAACTCAAGGGTACTTAGGAGAGCACCAGGCCTAGAGCAAACATGCAAGAGATGTCAGCTATTATCACAATTACTCAATTACTGAATGCAGAGAGACTTACCCGCAGCCCCCATATCTCTCAGTGTAAGAAGAGTGCTGGGCAGTGTAGGGATGCACATGGTTCTTGAACTGGATTAAATGAATCAGATTTATACACTTAGTGAAATTAGTTTTTAGCAACATTCTCCAAACAGCGTGCTCTGGAACTAAGAGTGAGGCATCCGAGATCTGACTCATCCTCCTTCTGTATCAGGAGTGTTCTGAGTCCTCTTTCAAGAGAAAGGGGCCTTATTTTAACACCCACTTGGTTGGTAAAAGCATGTTGCCATGGGGGCAGAGAGGTACCAGCATGAAACTACTTTGATTTTGTTTGCTGTGTGTTTGAGAGATATTTGAAAGAAATTTGGTATCTATGAATCGAATGATTGATTGATTGATTGATGTGCCAAATCTCTGAAATATAAAAGAAACACAGAAAGCCAGCTCCCTAGCTATGAGTTGAGATCAGAGTCACACGGGGCCTTCCCTGACACTGGAAGCCACTGTGGTGGGTGCTCGGCAGGGGAGTCATGTGGCCTCACGTGTGTTTTCAGAAGACCAATCTGGCTGTTTGTGGAGAATGAATTTGAGAAAGCAAGGGGCTGTCAAAGAGAGTTAAGGGACTCTATTCTGACTGCTGGATAAAAAGACCCTATAAAGCAGACCTAAAGAGCTTGACATGTACCCATTTCTAAATTTCCTGCCTGAATGTGGGCAGCCTGGGACTTAGAAGGTGGCCCTAGAGAGTAGGGACTCTCTGACCTCTTTCTGTGCTGTGGCTATGTGACCCCAAAGATCCTGGCCTCAGTCCTATGACCACAAATTAACAACAACCATGTCCATGTTTCAGCCAGTATGAATACTATGTAGGTGGAGCAGGTGAGAGGAGGTGTGCACCGCTCCTTCCCCGAGTATGTCACCTCTCCTCCCGCAGCCCTAGCACTCAGCCAGCTGGCTGTACACAACCGCAGAAGGAAGGCACGGTGTGGGAAGAGATCTGATGACACCCCAGTCTGCCTCGTGTGCTGAGATCACTGCAGTGGGGTCGCAGTGTCGTCCTCAGATGATCAGACTGTCTGATGCATGGGGCATAAACATGAAGGAAAGACGGAAATAAAGGAGGCATCCCTCTTTTAGGCCTAGACAGGAATAAAGAAGGCATCCCACTTTTAGGCCCAAACAAAAGTTCCCCATATATCTCTGTGACAGCACCACACACATGTAGAATTTAAGAGATTTTCTCTTTATAAAATATCCTATGGCTTACATTTTTTTAAGTAATCTTGGCACACATCTCTTATTGATTCCTTGAGATAAACTTTAAAAATAAATTTGAATCCAAAAATGTGAATCAACAGGTATGCAATATTATAATATATTTTTACAGTGGCTGCCAAACTGCCTTCCAGAAAATTTAACCAATCACAATTCCACCTGCTGTGCATAATGATACCAATTTCTCCATAACTTTGCCAGCATGTACCATTAAATTTTTTAAATAAAAAGTTTATTAAGCAAAAATTGCATCTTGATGTTACCCACATTTGCCCTTCTTGGTTTACATTTTTGAAATTTCTTTTTTTTTTTATTACATCATAGCTATGTACATTAATACTGTCATGGGGTACAGTGTGCTGTTTTTATATACAATTTGAAATATTTTTATCAAACTAGTTAACATAGCCTTCATGTCACTTTCTTAGTTATTGTGTTAAGACATTTATATTCTACAATTAGAAAGATTCACATGTACCCTTATAGGATGAACCGTAGACATGATCCCACCAATCACTCTTCCTCCACCCATCCTCCCCTCTCCCCTCCCCTCCCTCTCCCCTTTCCCCATATTCTTGGGCTATGATTGGGTTATAGCTTTCCTATGAAAGCTATAAATTAGTTTCATAGGAGGGCTGAGTACATTGGATACTTTTTCTTCCATTCTTGAGATACTTTGCTAAGAATATTTTCCAGTTCCATCCATGTAAATATGAAGAAAGCCCAATTCATAATGGCTAGGTCATGAAAGAAGCCCAAGTGCCCATCAAACCACGAATGGATCAATAAATTGTGGTATATGTACACCATGGAATACTATGCAGCCCTACATTTTTGAAATTTCTTGATTAAATATTTGTTCTTTTCCCACTGGGAATTCAAAATGTTCTTATTACTTTGTTATACATCTTTCTCATTTATTGAGGTAAAAAATACATAACATTACAATTTACCATCTCCTATTCATAAAGGCCCCAAACTGGAAATAACCCAAGTACCTATCAACTGGTGAATGGATAAAGAAATTATAAGATACACATGACGGAGAATATTACAGAACAACATAAAGAAAAAGAATACTAATAAACCCAACCATATTAATAACTCTCAAAGACATATGCTAAATAAAAGAAGCCAAAAAGAAAAAGATTATATACCAAATGATTCCATTTGTATGAAAGTCTATGAAAGCCAACACTGTGATATTGCAAAGAAAATCAATGTCTATCTAGAACTGGGGTTAGAGGCAGGATGAAGAACAAAGAGCAAAAGGAATCTGTTTAAGACAAAGATCCTGTTCTTTATTTTCATTGTGGTAGCTGTTAC